AAAAAAGTTTTCACAGACGAATACTATGAGTTTGTGTGGTCAATGTCATCAGGTTGAATCACTTTCTGTTACTTCTTTTATGATGTCATTATTTCTGCATAAGCTCTATTTGTTAATTTAAGCTAACAAATTGATATTTCAGCATTTTTTAAAAATTCAACTGGATGCATTTAAGATGGCACTAAACACTAAAAAAAACTGAATATAATTGAAATTCATACATTTGATTTATAATTAGAAATAGTTTAATATAGAATATTATTTTCTAATGTTTGAACTCATGTGAATTATTGTACTTGGCTATTCTGCTGTTTCTTTTTATGAAATCCAAAATGTTTTAAATTATTATCAATCATAATAGTAGGATTTAAAAGTTAATTCTTCCTCTTTGTGTGAATTAACATCTGGATTGATGATAAATTATTCTTAACTATGAATGTTCGATAATTTAGCAGAGAATTTTCTCTAGGTTAATTAAATATGTTGAGTTATAATGAAAATTTGTGAGAATTATGTACATCTTCATTCATTTTGTTGATTACTTATGATTAGTAAACGTTCAAGCAATGATCGCATATAAAAGCTAAATACCTGACTCAATATCCACCCCCCCCAGTGAACCGATATCGAGGATAATATATGTAAATTATTTTTAAAAAGTAAGATGTTGGTTAACAGTGCTATTCAAGACTAGCATTTCGCCTTATTTAGCATTCGTCAGTTGAATGTACCAACATTTAACGTAAAACAGACAACTAATAAATATCGTTTAACATACCAGTGATTACTTTATCAATCAGTTATTAACTTATTAAGATTGAATCATGTTTACATATTACTCTCTACGTATCAATGTCGTAACGATATTTTCAAATACTCACTATTTAGTCGATAAAACAGATTTCTTTATTTTTACAAAACAGTTTCTTCACTTTTATTTGTAACCATGAATCGATCAATGTAGTCTAACATTGATCGATTCATGGTTACAAATAAAACTTAACAATCTTCACAACAACCTCGCAATGCAGTTTCTTAACTAACAGTATATTTATTTTTTATTGATCAGCTCTGTTTTTATAATGTAGACCTTCAGATTGTCTGTTCACTTAAATTCTTAGCTTATTTACTGACTGGAATTTTGTTTTAATGGATATATATATAACATTGTAAACTTGAATGCTCTGTCTAACATCGTAGAATTTAAAGATGATGGTGTTGAACCAAAATAACCGAAGCTAGTAATTTGACTGCAACAAAAAATTTACGGTAATTTCATTCAACTAAACATTTTGATACTACGCACATCAAAACCAAGCCTTAATTTTCTTCTTATTGACAGATCGATCCCAGTATAAATGTCAATCATCTAGGCTAATGCAGCTTAATTGTTCACAACAAAAAAAATGAATTCAGTCAAAACACTGATACGAATAATTCAAGTTTAACAATGGCTATTTTCATTCGCAGTGTTAAACTAAAATCGATTTTTTTTGTGTGATGAATTCTTTTCTGATAAGGATACAACAATTTTAGACTGAAACACTTCAAGTTGGTTACTAGCATAATATCCTATTTGGGAAAATGATTTATGTATTTATTTATTCACTGCTTTTTATCAATTTGTTTGTTTTAGAAATTTAATTTTTCCGCAGTTTATTTAATTTAAAAAGAATTTTTTTCTAATGTTTTTATTTGTTATTCCTTTTTGAGAACATGAGAATCAACACAGATGTTGCTTCAAATTTTTAATATTTCACAATAAGATAGAACAAATAATTTTCCATTCGGTTAACATTGATACGCATACACATCCACACACACACACACACATACCTATTTTGTATTCAATGCTCTTTCTTGTAAATCCATAAGAAAAATTTGAATAGCCAGTATTTATTTACACTACGTGTGTGTGTGTATTTGTACCTTCAAGGTAGATAGATGAATAGATAGTTAGATAAGTTATCTATTTTGTAAACTCATGAAAGACGAAGTTTTTTCTCTATAGAAGAAGATTAACTATGTTTGTGTATAGATGATAAATTGTTTGCTTGTGTCTACTAATGGAGGCGAGGGATATGTTACAGTGTCATAGAATGTGAAGTAGCAAAATATGAAGGAGGAGGAGTATTAGTAATAGTAGAGTATTTTTAAATGTGAAGAAATTAGTGTGTGTGTCTACGAACAAAATAGGAATGATGACGACGATGATGATATTGTTGGCCTTGTTGGTGGTGTGTAAATTTGTTATTTTCAATAGGAGTGGAATGTTTCCATAAGATTTCTCTAAGCCCAGCTGACATTTCTCCCATCTTGCATTGATAACAACAAGGACAACAGTTAATAGACTATTAATGAGTTAAAAATATATATATATATATATTTTCAAGCCTATTATATAAATTGAGATGGAATAGTATGAGTTTTCATTGAAAAGCATAAAAATTTTTTTTGAGTAGAAACAAATTATCTCACTGAATAATATGTGACACGCATACTATTTTTTTTCTAAAAAACAAAACAAAAGAGGGTAGATTAGAGCAAGCAGTTCTGCTAAAAAAAAATCGAATTAGGTATAAAAAGATGACTGTTAAGGTTATTTATTGTCTGTCATTGACATACCATCGTATCATGATATTCATTATGAATTATGAAGAAATGCTGGTTATCACCTTAGGTATTACGGTTGTTCAATGTTCTGTATCATTGAACATTGAACAATACCGTCAATTTTTACTGGGACCAAAATTAATTTCGTGGAAGAAACAAAGTAATAGATACATAGAAAATAGTTTCCTTTTAGAATTATATTATGTATAAATAGTTAAGATCATTATTTTTGTTTTCTTTCTGATGAGAACATAAAATGGATAATGTCGAAATGTGGAATCTATTCTGGATACCCTTATGTTTAAATGATGTAAACGTGTAATGGTGACATGTGTCATGTTATTTGCAATAGATATGTCATTATAAACGTTGTCTATAAAGACGAGACAACTGCTCTTACACCAAATAGGTAAAAAGGAGGTTTGAAAAATCCAATAAAATATGATATGTGATAAAGTTGCAGTATTTTGAACAAGATTAAATGGTTCCGGCCAATTGTCAGCTGGTTCTAAGGTATCGCAGTAATGCCATGGAAATAAGTTACATACTAGCGGAGGCTCGACAGTTAGAGATTTGTTTCTTAAGAATATTGGTGAGTGTGTAGCACCTCACAACATCTTACCATCCGATGGCGAATGGTATGGTAGAGAGATTACACCGACAACTGAAAGCATCTCTCATAACTGTTATCAGCAATAATGATTGGGTCAGCAAGCTTCCATTAGTCATGTTGAGTTTAAGATCGACAATTAAACAAGATATTGGATGTTGCCCTGCCGAGTTAGTTTATGGAACTACTCTACGTCTACCAGGAGAGTTTTTCACCTCAAGTAAAAGTGTTCTAACTGATATAGACAACTACGTATATCGTCTAAAAGAACACAAGAATGATCTGAAAATAACGCTTCCAAAGAAAGATCAACATCGGGTACATATTCCGAAACAACTGAACGACAGTACCCATGTATTTATCAGAAGAGATAATGTGCAACGTCCCTTACAACCGACCTACGATAGTCCATTTGGAGTAATTAAAAGAAACGATAAGACTATTACAGTTGATAAAGTTGGAAAAACGGATGTAGTTAGCGTCGATCGAATCAAACAAGCTTTTGTTGAAAGTGAGAAACAGCTGATAACTGCAAATCCTTCGAAAGCCATCGAATCCTCGAAATGTGAGTTACAACCATCAGCGACATCAACGCAGAAAAGTGAAGAAAGTCCAAGAACGACTAGATATGGACGAAGGGTCAGGTGGCCGGAAAGATATATAGCTACGATTTTGAATAGATAAGTTATTTCACCGTTTCGAATATATATTTTTTTCTTCGCTTCTCATTTGTACGTCGAAAACTTTTGTGTATTTCGATTTTTGATTTTTTGTTATTATTCAAGCTCACAAACACACACGAACTCAAACTTACGCAAACAAGATAATCTCGTCTTTTGCAAAATTTTGATATTTTCGAATGATTTTTTTTCGCAAACACAGACGCTTTTGTATTCTTGTTTGCTGGGAGGGAGCTATTATAGCACCTCACATATATCTTGTACTTTTATCATTGCTGAGCTTGTATGCGGATGTACGCTCGGGCATTACTTGCCACCTACGCATATAGTTATTAGACTAGCTGTATCGATTAACAGTTTGAATAATTCGATGTGAATATCGACTATACATATTTGAATTAAATCCGATATTTGTATCGATCATTAAATAATTTGAATAATAAAGAAATTTTGGCAGCGACTCGTGTTCTCTTGTAGCGATCATCAAGGCGGAGATATACGGGAAATCGAAGATTACGAAAGTCTAACGCCACAAGTGCTAACTATCATGAAACTAAGTTATGGAATTTTCTACTTCGGTCGACTAAAATAAAACAGTGTGTCGAGAAACTGAATCCTTTAGCATGGTGACTATATTACATTGATAGGATTCTATAAGATTTAAGGATTAGATAGAAGGATATCGAATACTAAATGTATATATCATTTAGCATGCTAGTTGAATCCTTGAGATTTTGAAAAAATAATTTGAGCAGTAGTGAACGCCGAGCAACACGATATTAATCATCTATTTATTATTGTTCGGTGTGGAAATCAAGCCATGAGTTAAACATTTTTCACCAGTGGAATTTTATGATCTTTTGTATGCATCGAAAATCAACGGAAGTAAAAATTTTATCATTGAAGTCGACTTAACACACAGATTCAAACTCTGGCTAAGTTGTAAATGTTGCCTTTTTGAGGAGTCCCATACTAAAATGAACTAGACATTCAGTGCTTCATGCTTTTTAAAAACACCTCAACGAAAATAAATCCAGCCTAAAAATCATATTTAAATTTAATAAACAGAAAGCACAATATAAAATGCCCTTATTCTTATGCTTCATTATTCTAGGATAAAGTTTGCGTGGCACATTGTATTTCACTTATTATCTACATTTACAGTGACATTCGATACTCAATCTTTACCCGTTTCAATTCTACGAAATTCAATTCAGCATTGGTTTACACCGATTATGGATGAATATTATGATGGCGTTACTACTAATACTACTACTTCTAATACTACTAATGAATTGAAACAATATTGGACAAATCCAACACAACAATTAACTACTCATAATTTTCAAAAGCCAATACAATTCTCACAAGGTATATGGTCATCACATAATACTGCTGAGACATTAATTCCATCTATACAGCAATCTATCAATTTTACAACCAATGAATTCATGTCTAAATTACCTTTGACAAATTTTAATTTAGAATCAGATCATGAATCATTTAATGTCAAAGAAAAATGTTTAAATTTGGAAATCATGAATTCAAATGTACAATTAAAAAATCCTTCAAATTATACTCTTGATAATCATGTTATATCATCAGCTTACAATACATGGTCGAATTCAATGTTGAATAATCACGGTAATAATAATAATAATAATAATGATCCTAGATTTTCAAATACGAATTTACTGAAATCTTTTCAAAATGATCTCAAACAATTAACTTCTAGTTCCACTGAAAAGTTCTATCATAATCATGATTTTTCATATTCTACAGTCATCAATCGTAGTGATAACAACACCACTAACAGTAGTCAGAATATCATGTTACCGATAAATACAAATTTAATACAATCGAATTTATTCATGAATCATATAAATTATGAAAATTCCAATGATTTAGATAATGAATCATCAAACTGTTCAAGTGCATCATATAATAGCACCGGTACTATGCATAGATTACGATCGTTCTCTTCAACAAGATCCAATGCCAGATTATTTTATCGATCGAATCGTATTAAAATTATGCATATAAGAAAAAATGGACGTTTTAAAGGTCAAAGTTTGCATGCATTTCAAAGACAAGCAGCTAATATGCGTGAACGAAGACGGATGCAATCGATTAATAAAGCATTTGAAGGTTAGTAAACAAACAATTGATTTTGTAACATTTTTTGTTGATGTTTTAAGCGGCTATACTGTATTGATTTTAATAGCCTTGTGAGTAATGATGATTACTGCAATAGTTTTGGTTCGTTCTGATTTTCTAAGCATCGAGGAGGCTAACAAGTTGGTACCTGGGACGAATGTGAACTGCACCAAAGTTATTACAATCAGAAGAAATTAAGGGAATGAAAACCAAAGAGGATAAAATGGCAGTTGAAAACCGAACATCGAAATGTAGAGAGTGTTGGATAATATTCGGTGCATTTAAAGAAATGAATGTGTCTAATGTCACTAAGAGTAAATGGTGTTTTAGACCATTCAGTACAACTCTGAAATATCACAAACAATATGTATAGTATAGAGCAGATTCTATTTAGTTGATGGCTGACAGGGTTCATTCCTCTTAAGATTCACTACCTGGCAGTAACTGCATTCAAGTGTTGATGTTCAAACGAGGATTTGAAATTCCGTCGAAAATACCGAAAACACTATAATATAATCCCCTTAAAAATGTAATTAAATTTTTACATTATTTGTAAATTGGATGGATTTAAATAAGCCTATCTAAGCTAGTTGACGCATTTTAAACAGTTTTTTTGTTGAAGGCTAATCATTGCAAGGTCTGTTGTTTCGAAATGTAAAAACGTGTCCTATGTTGGGGTAATTTTATTTGGCTACAGCAGGATAACAGCTGTCTTCTATTCGGTCCCCTGGGGACTTTTGCTCCGGTAACAACTCATTTGGTGTCGTTCGATAGACGTACAAGAAATTTGTAAAGCGTCGACTGGTGTCCGCTCCAACTTTGACTTAACCAATGCTGTTTTAAACATATCCACAAACCTTTCCGCTTGCCCATTCGAATGCGGGTGGTATGGTGGCGAGCGTAAGTGTTTGATGGCTAGCCGCTGACAGAAAGTCTGGAATTGGGTAGAGATAAATTGAGACGGATTGTCAGATCCGACCACATCTGGTATGCCATTTCAAGAGAAAATTTCAATGAGGAGCTGTATTGTCTTAGTTGTAGTGGGCGACATTACAGGGCTGATTTCTGGCCATTTTGAGAAGGCGTCGACCATAATTAAATACATGGTTCCATTAATTGGATCAGCGAAGTCAACGTGTATCCTGGACCAGGGATGCTCAGGTTTGGGCCATGAAACTGGCGGGACTTTGGCATTCCTCTTTGCTGCCAGCTGACACCGCATGTATTTTTCAACCAACACTGTGACATGTTGATCCATGAGAGACCAGTATGCATAACTCCTGGCTGTGGACTTCCACCGATTGCATAAAATCATTGAACATCATGTAAGATCTACTGAGTTATGGTTTTTGTATGTGAATTTTGAGAAACCACATAAACAAGAAATTAATCCACAGAAAGTGACTAACTGTTTCACAAGCTGTCAAAAATAAGACAGCGATAAATAATTACTTATATCTAGATGAACACTAGTGAATTACATTCCAAAATAACAACTGTATCCTGCGTCGAGTCATGTGAGAGACCTTAAGGTTTCAATAACTTGTCAATCTTTTAAATGAAATAATTCAAATGATGCACAAACTTTGTTATAATTAATCAACTGTTTATTAACTATTATTCAGTAAATTTTTTGAAAACTAGAGACATTATATTCTTTCCAAATTGTACTAATATTTTCATGGACAAATAACAAAACTAATTTATCTGCTAGAACGTGTAACATTTTTATCCAGAGAAAAAAAAACAAAACATTTGAAAATCATAGGAAAAACATAATGACAGGTGTTTTAATATATTTATATTAGAAAAAAAGGTGAAATATTCACGTATACTGTGATTAAAAATAAAATGAATGATAGTTAACATTTCAATGCATCCACTAATTTAGTAAGAAATTGAAAAAAAAGAGAATAGAAAACAGAAACAATATTCAATTCCAGAGGTTAATTTTCACTTGTACCAATTATAATGAAGTGAGCAAATAAGAATTTTCGTAGGAAGGAAGAATGTATTCAGTAAATTTTAATTATAAATATGCAAATGAATAGTTACGTTGTTACGATAACTAAAGAGAATGAATTGTGCTCTTACGTATCGACACACAGAATGTGTGTGTGTGTATGTATATATGAATGTATAATTTTAGTCTCAATAAACTAATTGAGTTTATTTCACAGTTTTACTAGACGTTTTCAATGTCTTATCACTATTCTAATGGGAAAAAAAATCATTGTATCATAAATTAAATACGAATTTTCGAAACAATAAAATTAACTCAATTGGCTGGATGGATATTAGTCAAATAATGTTTATATTAAATCATTTAGTTGATTTATTACTAAATCATCAGTAAGCTTTCGATTAAGTTTTATGAACAACAAAAAATAACCCTTATAAATGACTATAGTGTATTTTCTGTGCCTGAACTAGTCCAACACAAAAGTTCGATCGTAGTTTGACCAATGTAACATCAGATATTTTCACCATTAAACTTACATTTCAATGACGAACTCTAGTAAGATGTAGGCAGATTACTTCGTAAAATATAGAAAATCATTTGCTTGAATTAATGTGCTACTAAAATAATCCTTTTCTCTGGTTAGCGCTTTTTAACCAGTTGTTTTTCAACAGGATGGGTTCGCTAAGCCCATGACGACCCTCCTCCTTTATCCGGGCTTTAGAGAGACAGTAACCCCAGAAAGGGTCCAGGTTGTATTCAAATGATGTGTAACTAAATAAACAATTTTTAAAACGAAATACTCATTCTATAAATGAAAAATCACATACTTAGAAATGAACAATTTTCATGATCAATGAAAACTATTCACGCCGGTTTATTAAAATGTTTGCTTATTTTTTTCTTAAATCTATAGGTTTACGATCACATATACCAACATTACCATATGAGAAACGTTTATCCAAAGTAGACACACTTAGATTAGCTATTGGTTATATACATTTTTTACAAGATATTGTTCAAGCACATTCAAAAGATGACACAACATGGAAAGATATCAACACTAATTCTGATACAAATTCTGATAATCATAATGATTATGACAATGAAGATGGTGATATTGATAGTAATGAAATGTTTAATGGAGGAAATCATTCGAATAGTATAATGAATAAAAAGAATTTATTTAATTCTTCAACATTCACAAAAATTTCATCGACATGTTCCGGAAACTCGAAACACGACCGTTCTTTTACAATGAACAAATTCAATTCACCTCACAATTTAGAAGGTGACAATCAAATTCATAGAGAAAGAAAGATTATTTTAAATCTACCTAAAAACAGTACGTTATTTGATTAATTTCACTAAATTATTTTTTGATAATAAACTAATTTAAAATTATTTATTATCTTGGATATTTAAAAATTATCCCTTAAAAGAGGTATACATATATATATATATATATATATATATATATATATATATATATAAATGAGTTTTCTCACCCCTGTCCACTTATCAAAATGAACAATATTTAAAACGATGTTATTTCAAGGTTATATAATCCTGTTTTCAAAGTAGATAACGTGACTAGATTGTTTTTCTAAGAATTCCTAATACTTGCCGAAGTTAGGCTTAGAGTAATTGATGAAATTGATGAATGAATGAAAATCTTGAAATATCATACAGTTATGACTGACAGTATAAATGATTGTTGCAAGATATTCTAAAATATTCCCTGCAGGGGTTGTCTCCCTTTATGAGTTTTGGGGATATTAGATCCCCAGAACTCACTTGATAAATATCTTTATTTTGGATATATTTCATGGACCGATCAGTTGACCTTGAGGTCACTTTTCCCACCAGGAAAATCCTTGGCTGTGATTGGTTACTGTGTAATTTTAGTGTGCTGTTTTTGTGACAGTCCCAAGGACGTCTCTATGGAGCATAAATAAACGCGAGTTGTGTGCTTATATTAATTGTGTATTGGCTGGGTGTTGGTAGAATACACTTTCTACGCTATATCAAGACTTCTTGCTGGTACAGTTGATCAAGGGATCACAGTAGCCTACTTGGATGCTGGTTCATTGTTTTGTTCTCGTTATTCGACTGAGGTGAACCCGTAATAGTTTAAGCATACCTAGAGACGAGCGTAACAATTGGCCTCTTATATATATATACTCGATTGTGATCAATCACTGTTATACAAAAGCATTAGGTTATTGAAGTGTTAGGTATTTTTTTGAAAAATAATATACACAAACATTAAAAGCTGATATGATCTATACGCAGTGCACATTTTCCAACAGAGACCGATCTCTTTCACTCCTAAACATCAATGGAAAGATCCATCACAGTCAAAAACAACTATACTGAGTAATTATTTGTTTACTAAATAACACATTTTAAAGCGCAACAGTAGTCCATCAGATCAAAGTGTCATAATTTAAATTCATAGGAGGATAGGCAAATACCTTAATTATTCAAGTGAATATAGGGGCTAACAAACCTAACTGAATGGATTTCGGCTTTGGTCAATCTAACTTTATGGATTTGCAAGTTTAACCACATATCTGAAAATTAGTAAAGACAAAAGTATCCGTTGTATACTATCTTGTTAGCATTTCTTGTTGCTTAGTGTCAGTATTTATTTTTCCGGTTACTCCAATGTGAAAAAATGTACTTTGACTATGGTCATCAACATAAATTTCATTTATATTACAGATTTTTTTTAAAAAATAATTATCATATTAAAGTAATTTAATCCTCATTAACAAACAAAAATTATTTCATGATACGGGTGCCTAGCGAGTATGTTTCTAAGTCAAAAGAAAAACACACACATTATCTTTCATTGAATAATTATTATGTGTTATAAGAGACAGAATAATTAACTATATATTTAATTATAATTGGAAATAAGGTATAAATAATAATAATAATAATACTATCCATCTAATATTTTGATTTGCATGTTTCTTACGGTCTACATGTTGGGAAGAGAACGATAGCGCATATTTAAATAACTGCCCATCTATGCATAGTTTCTTGTGAGATTTTCATTAGCCATGGAATAATCATTCACTGACTATGTGTGTTTATTGTGTGAGCTTAACAAGAACCCGCTTACTTGTCTCCTGCATTATTCCGTATTCGCTTACACATCCATGTGCCAATCAATCATTTATGTTGAGGTCCAGTTATTTGAAAGATCGATAAGGAATTTCACATCTAAGTTATAATTGACTGAAACCCGGATTAGAAATTGAATAATTATATACAAGAAATAATTTTTATTATTTACTAAATATTCAATGTAAAAGTAAAACTCTATTTGCATGTAAAAGAAACATTATGCACAGAGTAAATATCAGATGTTAGGTTTAACACAGTGAATAAAATATGTTTTTTAATAATCGTATCATTGAAACTAATCAACTGTTAGTTTAATGCATGAATAAACGAATAGTTGTTTTGGAAAAAAAAGGAAATCACGAAATAATGTGAATCATGTGAAATCGGTCAGTTGTTTGAACAAGTTTTTGTTGTTGAATGTTGTTTGCATGCTTTAGCAACCAACAAATATATAAAATATTAGTAAAGATCTAAGAATTTAGACATTGTCGTTTTGAACTGATAAAATGTGTGTTCGATATTATTCATTTTTATCACTGGTTACATGAAATAATCTTGAAGATATGAAAAATCAAGTTGATGATTCCAATGATCACTACTGGATTTATGCTACCTAGTTGGGGTCCGCGAGACGAAAGTCACTAATGGTTAGAGATCTTGAATGACATAGCTCAAAACATTTTTCAATGGCGCAAGTGCATCCACTCTTTGTGTTCTCTCAAATTCTAACCTTCCAAATTCCTCATCATCTTTATCTTTCTCTTTCTCTAAATTTATCTCACTCAATTATACTTCTCGAATCAAATCTTCAAACCCTAATCTTCTCCATTACTACTAATACTTCTACTATCGCTACCACTATTAGATTTGAACTGACAGTTGCGTCTCTGTGCTAATGTGGTATGGCAACGTGAACTTGTACACTGATGTTCGAAGTTCTGCGTTGTAACTGACTAACTGACTGATTTATTGGATTTATGCTCTAGAGTATTTATAAATGAATTTTCCTCACTTCTTGGAGAAAAAAAACAGAGAAAGGATCTTCATGTTAGAGTTTCAGCGCATAAATGATAAAATTAAGAAACAAAGATTACCAATTGTTTCATGCCTAATGACTTCATCAACTCTATTATTGCGATAGATAACCAATCGTATATTCAAAGTTTTTGTGTAAAATATAACCTTCGGTTAGTTTGTCATGATGAATCTCATGTAAATAATCATAAAACAATTAGACTGTTTAAATTCAAACTTGATTTATTTTCAAAATTATCAACATTTTAATAAATGTTTAAAACAGACTGATGTATTCAATTGGTTTGCACTAAAAATTCACACCTATCAAGTTATTGTGGTCATTTTTTTTGACTTAGGAATTAAACATCTCTCAACTGTTTACTAAATCAATGTGTATTAAAAATTTCAGTAGTCGTTCCAAACATGACTTACTTTTCATTTTCTTTAGTATTATTGTTAATTTTGTTTTGTTTTTTTTATACTTAGTTTCAAGACCTATTCAATGAAAGGTCATATATTGATGCATTGAACATTGTTTGACTATTCTCATTTAAAAGGAAATAATAATACGTTGATAATTAGTTCATAGATATTTGACCGTAAATTATTCTGTTATTTAACAGCATTCATTACTTATGTGTTAAATAGTTTGATCTTATTTTGATAATTGATTCATGTCAATTTAGTGTTTCTATTCATCAAGTAAACTACACGTTGTCAATATTGTCCATTTTCAGTTAAGTCTATGTCTGAGAAGTTTACATAAACTATTAGGGTCATCAGTGTACGCACAGCAGGCTATCTGTTGTCAGTGACAATGAATCAATGTACAAACAATGGATAATTATTTTAATTCAGATTTTTTTTCTCTGATCTTATAATAAAATCATGAAAATTGATGAATTATAATTAGCTAACATCTTAGTTTTTGTTTGTATTATTATGTAAAACTGTTCAATGATAATTGTTAAATGTTAAATGTCATTTTAAATTGGTTTTATAGCATGAAATAAGTGTTAGTTAGTGGTGCTCATTGTTTTGGTGTAGATAATCGTTAAGAAGAGTGTCAACTGAAATGAACATTTAAATTTATTGAAATGTTTATAAGATATCAGCTAGAGAAGCATTGAAAAGATGAATTTTGGAACATTTAAAACATTTGATACCGACACTGATTAGGTATGGTGTTAGCTATAGAATCCAAGGGCAACATGTATGACCTCGTGAAGGGTTTCAATCATTTACTACTGAGGATAAACCTGTTGTGAAATGAAACAGTTGTTTAGTTCATTTTGCTTTTGAAGGGTCTACAGATGACTTTAGTCTTTGACAAAAATTGCTTAAGAATTCAGATTTATTAGATTTTTAGTACAGATGCTTACAACTAAGAGTAACAAAATAAATTCTTGTTTTAAAAGTATGGAGTATGTTGACTTGCGGCTGACTGAAAAACATTCGTGACACACTTTAAGTTTTCAGTGACTGTTCAGCTGGTGTCATCTTCTAACAAAAGCTATCTACAAACAGTAGTAATCTTGAAGATATGTTATTTAAGTAAGAACAAAATTAGTAATCGTTTGATTAATTTACTGATTTCACTTATTCTGATAGATGTAACCGCTGACTTGAACATTCGGATTATTCAGCTTTGAATAATTTCTTGAATGGTATCATTAATAGAAAATTATCTATAACCAAGAACACGTATCTATTAAAATGAACTCACTAGATATTATTATGTGTACGGCTGAATGTATGGACTGAACTATTCAGATAACATCGAATTCATAATTTAACTTTATATTCTATACGGCTTTTTTCTTTCTTTCATAAAGTATTAGAAATAATGATGAGACACAGGAATGATACAAAGAATTTTGAAGAGCTTTCTCATATTAATGATAAATCACAAACAACCAATGATCTTTATCGTCAATCAGAACAAATTCTATTTGGACATAGTTTAAGTTGGCATCGTGATAGTCCACCATGGAGTCGAAACTATTCATCAAATTCTTCTAATATTTTGGTCGCCAAATTATGGATTCCAGAAAAACTTGACTGTATAAAAGCTATTTAATTTCAGATGCAGTAGCACGTCATTTAACATCTTTTTTTAAATAGATGCAATGACTTATTTAATATTTCGAATTTATGTTTAAAAACAATGTACAGTAAAATAATGATTATTTCTTTTGTAAATTGTATACAAACTATCGATAGAATGTAAGTTATAGTTACTTTTGTTTTGTAATAATCATGTTACAGAATATAAGATATTTACCAATTAAAAATGTAAGAAGCAATTTGATAAACGAACAACAGACAAAACATTTGTACTTTTATTTTAAAGTGCAGACGAAATGCTAACATTTTCTTTATAGACCACTCAACAAATGCAATGGTTTTCAGTCAACAATGCTTCATTCAAATGACCTTACTGACTGTTGCAGTTATTCAACATTTGAGTAAGATAGTAAATATAAATAATGCTGTATGGATTATCAGATTAATAATTATGTTTTTGTAGACTTTCTGTTTGAATCTTGTTCAGAAAACAAATAAACCAATTTATTTAAATAGCATTTCAAGTTTCTTTGCAAAGTTTTTATTTATTTTTGTAGCGTAAGAACAATTCGAGCGTAAGTTGCTCTCGTTAACTTTTTATTAATGATGTCACTAATGACTGGTTAATCCCCGATTAACTAATCAACAAACAGGCAGACCAAACAACTAGAGATGGAATGATTTAAACAAAAAAGAATAAGTAAACAGGTTATTTAAAATGTTAGCCCATTATTTGATGGTCGATTATCAGCCTTGCAGTTTAACTAAAATGTATTATTTCTATTCTTTTAGAATGTTAGACATTCATGCTTCAAAGGCTCTTTTCATTAGGTTGACTAGTAAACAAAATTCAGTCGAATATTTGTGCCAACAGTTTATTTTAAACGAATATCGTTCTTCTTACAGAATGCTCAAATGATGTTGCAAGATGAATAAAAGTTCTTCTAGGATTGCTGATGGTTACATATGATCAAATCTAACCCAGGTTTCGGCCATTTTACTGATTGCTTCTTATTAATGTTATGCTGACTAGCGGCTTAGTCGATTGGAGTACAAACGACACGTGAAATTGATTTTTCCTCAAACTTCTGTGACAGATAGTCATATTTATGAGTTATTATATAATTAAGTTGATTACTTATGTCAGTTGGTTATAGTCGTTTGATTATATGACATTGTAAATATATATTCTCGGAGCAAGTTATTGATTAACTGGTGTAAATACTACTCAATTCAATTTACACAAATTTGAATTGATCTGACTATGTTGTAGATTCACACGTCATTTTGATTTATATTAGGAATCACACAAATCCTCATCTATCGCCTTCTTGTTTTTACTTGACCCAACAATTATTATCCTATATTCTAAATAAAGCAAAGTAAAATCTGACTATGAGGTGCTAGCTGTTTGATGAAATTGTGCCTATATGCTATTGACTGAGAAAGTATCTCATTCTGACGTTCAAATAACTTTAGCTATGTTTGATACAACCGTTATTATACCAAATCTCTTTTAGCTGAATATCCCCTATGACTACTCAATAAACAGTATATCTTAATGCAAGGAATTTTCAAATAAAAATTATCCATGAGATACAAAATTTACGTAATTTGTCATTCCAAACAAGACATTGATACAGGTAAATGGTTGAATCTGTCCCGAGATAGTCGTAAGAATTTTAACTGCCAAAAAGATATCTATATTTCCGAGCAGATGAATAAACTTAAGTTCATAAAGTCCTACTAGACAGCAGATAGGCAAATTGTAAAGGAACTGTGGTAGGTATAGAGAATGACTGAGAAAGCCAACCATATGCAGTAATGGCATGTCCAAAGTTTACTCATAAGTATTATGGCATATAAATGCCTAACAAGAGAAAGAAGCTTTATGTTATAAGTATTATTCTATAGGACATTTTGCTGAACACAATATTATACGAAAGACTAACAAAATTTTATGTTATTGCTCAATGCTCTACAATGTTAGAGTTTTCGTGAGAAGAGTTTTGTTGTGATTCTAATCTTCATCATGTGTGAAAGTAAAGCAAACACTGAAGTAGAACATTTGCATTGAAAACATACGAATATGTCAAATTGTTATCGGTGATTAAAGAGCAGGTTTGGACACCGGAAGACTTGTTTTCTAAGCAAAGAAATAAGTAAATAATTCTGTATGATTTTCGACATTTTTTACTTGAGTAATTAGATGTTCAAATACAGGAATAGTCAATACGAACCATTTTTGTCAGGAAACACATTTTCATTAGCTGTAAAGAACTTATTTTTGATGTAGAATCAACTTCTAGACTACACATATTGTGTGAACAGTAGATTCTACCAAAATTTCACTTTATTTTGTGGTTAACCAGAAATAGTCAAAATCATTACATGCTGGTTTACAGAATGATAAACAGAATGCACGTTTTGTAATGATTACGTAGACTTATACTCCAGTACCTTGTCAACCAAATGTAATAAACATGGAGATGTTGGGTACCATACATAAAGTTCTTTGAATACAATTAATAAAGTGAAATTTATTGTATAGTGTTGAGAAAAGCATCGTGGATCCTGATTATTCTTTCGATCAATCATTAACAACGTCGAAATAGATACAAATGTGTATTAATTTGATTTTATACGGTTCAAAAACAGCGTAGTGATAAAACGTCGACAGAAGTACAGAAGTCAATATAAATACTTTCATCAACTAAAATGGTGACTTATTGATTGCTTATTTATAGTAAACTAAGAAATAGCTTTCATAAAGAAATTCGACAAAAGATAGATTTAAATTTCGTTTCATTGCTGAAGCGACATTAGTTATGACGCTTTCAAATGTTTCAGAACAATACACAACTATACAGTCCAAAAGTATTTTCATTTTGTTCTTGAACTGATACAACATATCGAACATTTATCTGAAAAAATGTATTACTGAGTTTGATGAATTACTGATACCACTTTACTGAAATCAGTGTAAAATATGGTAGTCTCGAAAATCCAGAACTGTCTACCAAAATATGACTGTTCAGAAGCGGAAGGAAATTTTTATGAAATAATATATTTTGCATCATTCACGACCATGTAGTGAAATGGAAATTCTCATATTTGTGTAGTGAAATTTCCTATTAGTTACTATATTACTTACAATTAAAAAAGTAGTAATACACTGAATTCCATATTATCTGAACTGAAATTAAACAGTCAAATGATTATATATCTTTCACGAAAATTTATTGAGTTTAGTCTTTCTACACTATAGCGTAAATGAGTAAAAACATTTTTATTAGAAAGGTAGATTTATATATCTAAGAAAATTTAGAAATCAAGAATTGTTCATAAATTAAGCGTTTTCTTTTCCAAAAGGTTTGAAAAATAAATTATTAAACAGACTTAGATGAGAGTACATAATTCTTAATTCTGTGTACATTTGATTTGTTTTAATTTAAAAATTTGTTGGGAATATATCAGCATAATTTTAGCAAATAGATTTTATCTTATTATGAGTTATGTAGTGCTTGTGATCACTTATGCTTTCATTCATTTTGAGTACACTAGAGAATATATTATTCCACATTGTAAAAAGTTTTTCAGATAGTTTAAGTTAATTAATCTGATGAAAATAGTTCAACTTACAAAATACATGGTTATGTGGACATATTTAAATGAAATACGTTTATTTTGAAAACTGTATGATTAATTACTTACTTACTTACGCCTGTTACCCCCAATGGAGCATAGGCCGACAACCACTTTTCTCCAACCAACTCTGTCCTGGGCTTCCCTCTCCAGTTCTGTCCAATGTTTGTTCATTCCTCTCATATCTTTCTCTATTTCACGGCGTAATGTATTCTTTGGCCTTCCTCTTTTCCTTTTGCCTTGAGGGTTCCATGTGAGGGCTTGTCTCGTGACGTAGTTAGGTGCTTTTCGTAGAGTGTGTCCTATCCACTTCCACCGCTTCTTCCTGATTTCCTCCTCCACTGGAATCTGGTTTGTTCTCTCCCACAGTTCGCTGTTGCTGATGGTGTCTGGCCAACGAATCCAAAGTATTTTGCGTAGACAGCTGTTAATAAACACTTGTATCTTCTGGATGATGGCTTTGGTAGTTCTCCATGTTTCCGCTCCATACAGTAGAACTGTCTTCACATTTGTATTGAAAATCCTGATTTTGGTTTTGATTGAAAGTTGTTTGGAGTTCCAGATATTTTTTCAACTGTAGAAAGGCAGCCCATGCTTTGCCAATCCGTGCCCTTACATCTGCATCGGATCCACCTTTCTCGTCGATGATGCTGCCAAGATATGTGAAGGTGTTAACTTCCTCCAAGGCATCTCCTTCAAGAGTGATTTGGTTGGTGCATGTTGTGTTACATCGGAGAATTTTGCTTTTTCCTTTATGTATGTTGAGACCTACTGCTGCAGAGGCTGCTGCTACACTGGTCGTCTTCTCTTGCATTTGTTGTTGCTTGTGAGATAGTAGAGCCAGGTGATCTGCGAAGTCCAGATCGTCCAGCTGCGCCCTAACTGTCCAGTTGATACCGTGCGTCCCTCCAGATTTTGACGTTTTCATAATCCAGTCGATCACCAGGAGAAAGAAAACTATCTGATTATAACGTTTAAATTTAATGGAAAAACTACCAAAGTTAACATGCACTAAATTATCAGCCAATATATGTGGTAGTTTATGTTTTAATCCGTGAAAAATATTAGTATTTAACATGTTCAGTTTCTTAAATATGAAGAAATTGTTAGTGAATTTCCATATTGGCTTAGGGTTAATTTATGATGCTTATTAAAGTAGTAAACAATTTTTAGTTCAAACACTTAAACTTGACTAAAGCGGGACGCAGACCAACATTCTTAATCGAAAAACAGTGATTTCATTCAGATCTTTATCAGGCTTTAATATAATATAATATTTAAATTCATACATGAAATATTGGTACTCAGTGGTAAAGATGGAATAGATTACATAAATAAAAATTAAAAATTAATTGTGTTATGATAGGTGTGCTAGTTGTGACAAGACTAATAAAGGCTTAAATGAGAAGTAAATTAAGTGACTTAGAGAACCAGATACTTAAGTAAAATTCACTAAAATTATGAAATCACAATAAGATGTCAGAACAACACAAAATTGTTTTCGATCAACGAAAAAAGAATATGGAAAACAGTTATCATAAACAAAGACATTTACTAAAGCCTATTCAACCCAAGAATAATCCATATGAAAAGATATAATGCACCACAGTACTGAAGAGAACAAAAAAGATTGTTGCATAAAAATATGATTTCATTTTATTTCGTTAGATCTTAATCAGCTGCTTACAACCTTTAATATTTTAAAATCAACATTATCAATGAAATTGAGACACCTATAGATTGAAAGACGATCAGATATAGATATGTAAAGCATGACGTCACAAAGTTTTCAACAAAATAAATTAGGCCATAAAAACATATTAGAGTCGTGTCGTGGAAATGTCTCAGAGTATTGAACTAGTGATTATAAGTTGAAGATGCCATTTGTGAAAAATGTGTTTGACATAATCGCGGAGATAGAAATTTTAGATAATTCTAAAATTTTATCCAGCTGCATTGTCTGGACTCCTTTACAGGCAAAAAGGTTTAACAATCGGTTCACCAGTTTCTATTATCATAGCGGATGTATTTATGAATTCTTTGGAAACTAATGCGAATACGAAATATGTGTATCCATCCAAAGTTTACTCATGGTATTAGGGTGATACTTTTTCCATTTGTAAACGTATTGGTTATGAAGAAATAATTATGAATTTAAGCAACATTTCGGAAACTATCAAATTAACCAATGAGATAGAATCCACTAACCTCCATCTAGGGATCCTCGATTGTTTGGTGGAAAAATAACGTAATAATCAGCTGAAAATTAATATATTTTGGAAATCAACACATTTTGGCTGGTACTTGGATTACTATTGATCTCATGATCATTCTAGAATGTTTACAGCGATGAAAAATCTAGTTAACAGGAGTCACAATCTGATTACAAAGAAGAGAGACCGATTGACTGAACTGAACCTAATAGTGTCGACACTTAAGGCCAAAAGTTATCCTAAAGAAAACTTAAATGACATTGTTGAGAATGAAGGTAAACTGAACTAATCTGTACTGAGAGAACGGAAGAACACCTCTGTCGTTCTTTACTGTGAAGATACATCGGAAGAAATTAGTGTGATTCTAGACAAACATGTTTCTCGTTTGGTCTCAAAAAAGTAGAGAATAAATCGGTAATAGCATTACATGCATTATAAACTAGCCACAAGAGTAACTTTGATGGGAACAGAACAGCCTAGAGAAAAGGTGGTATTCAACTCATCACCCCACCGTTAGTAACCAATCACAATTTACTGGACCTCGTCTCCATCCACCGTGCTTAATTCGCTTGTAACTTTGATAGAATAGTGATTCGCCAAGTTTAATATATTGTACTTCATAACTATGTAATTCATTTGCCATACAATTTACTTACACCTTTGACTTTTAAAGATGCCATTTTTATGTCATAGTGATTCCCGTTCATTAAATACTTATGTTCGTATAAGCACCTTGTTCTAACTTAGTTAGTGGTCATTTCCTAACTGCTAAATGACACTCCTGGTGCACACATTTTAACTAATATCATACAGCATCTCCTCTGTCAAAAACAAACGAACACTTTGGACCTGTCTGATATTTCTTAGGATTATTTTTCCCACACTATTATAATAGAGGATTTATGGACGGTATCAGATCTCAACAACATGATCCTGGAAGCTGAGCATATAACGACTTAAAAGACTCTCATTAAACGATGAACCCATGAAAACGGTCGAAAATTTTCGGCTCAGGCAAACAGAATTGAAAAGGTATGGCTCAGTAATGCAGGCATAGATGATTTGTTTAACATTTTGATCTTTAAATAAAATGCATCATTCTGTCCAAAGCCCAAATTTATTCTTCCGAAATCCTAAAAATTATATTGTTGATTGTCACGATAGGATGAGTCATTATGGATAATGAGGTGGGTTCGAGATAAGACTTTATGGATTAGACAGTCATATCGTGGCAAGTCTGCAATTCTAGAAAAGATCTATTACACTAGTGACATAGATAAGTGCACTATGGTCGACTTAGAATAAAATTCGGTAGTCTAACTGAACATAGCATTATCTTCGTCTTTGAGTGTTGTTCTAATTTTCACCAAGAGAATCTTCAGTGCTTCATATCATGTCAGTAATATTCGGAATTGGACAATGCTTTTTACCGTAAAGCATATCAGATTTAGAATACCCATTGCCGAATAGAACTAGAAGTAATGGACAGAGAGGATTGATGGTATGTTCAAACGACGGTTGAGACACAAAAGAATAAGTGAACTGAGGGTTCTATTTAATGAGAGGAACATTGTTGCATGGCGTGCCTAACACCGATCTGGTGCGGATCTAGTTGGATCTACATTATCGAACACCACCCAGATTATATTCGGAACAGCATAGATTAATAACGTGATTTCTAAAATTCTGCATTTGTAAAAACGAGCAGTCGGGTGAAGTAGCCCTGAAAACTGTCACTTTAGTTCATGAATACATCATCCAATAAAAAAAAACACGTACACCTTATTCGGTTATGTTTCAAAACTACGAAAGACTGCTTACGTGGTATGCAATGAAATACTTACTTAAGTTCGATCATGACAAAAACCTTATTTTCAAAACCCAGAAATTAAAAGCAAGATGTCATTAAATGTACTATGTGCTAATGAGTTAGGTGGTCTAAGAGATTTCTCAAGAGTCCTTCAAAGATATATAAGATTTGGTTGTATTTCTCAAGGAAGCTATCAAATAGCAAGGCAGTAGTTTATTTGATAAACTTATACTACTCTGTGATAAAATTAATGGCAGTGACGTAAACAATCGTTTCGGCGGTAATTGCAAATGCCCTCTTCCTCAAGGTCATTTAAGTACTAAGACTTTATCCGAATTTGTCCTGAAAATCTTGGTAGACTGATTTTATTTCATAAGTAACAGCCAGCACAGTAACTTATTTTGTTTTTTATCCTTATGTTTTTCCTTTTTCTGAAATACATTAAGCTAGTATAGGAATAGTATTTACTGGCTGTTTTGTGAAGACCAATTCAGGGCTTGCAGGTAAAATGTAAATTTCTAACGATAAGTCATTCAGCCTCCGGAAATCGGAACACCCACGTGGAACAGCCATTCAAAATATGAACGAATTCTCAAATGCTATCATTTATTTTGTCAGTGGATGTGCACAATATCTTTCTCGTTCACTGCATCTGTATCATTTGAACACAAAATCAAATAATTAAATTCTAACCATGACGTGCGCATTATATGTTTCATTAACTAAATAAGTAGTGATCAGTACGATTTCAATACTCTTGAAACATCTATTATATCAAATGCTTTCACTGCTGTTCAGATGACTAAAATACATCACAAGACTACAAATTCACTCTTCTCTCTTTCTAGTACACGCCTACTGTATTCTGTGAATGTGAATTCCGTGTCGCTCGGGTTGGTCATACTAAGTGTACTGATAAATCATTTTTCGATGGTGGTAGCACGTGAAAATAAACCTACAACAAGTGATTTGCTGATGGTTTTTATTCTATGTCGACATGGTGACAGATCTCCTGTTCATACCTTTCCTACAGACCCATATCGAAAGCTGTGGAAAATGGGATATGGTCAGCTAACGCCTTATGGTGCAGAACAACATCACGAACTTGGTCGGCTTATTCGCAAAATGTATTCAGGTTTTATTCCTGAAGTTTATCACAAGGTACTATCGTGTTTTTTTAAATCATAGGTAGTAGGATGAAACGTTGTTTCGTAGTTCTGGTACTGAAAGAACACTCATGTCTGCCAATAGCTTTATCCGAGGGTTTTACCGCTTGGAAAAGAAGAGTACAAATAATGTCCCCCCTGTTTTTTCTAGACTAACACACGAAGATCATCTGTTAAAAATGTCCAGCAAGTGTCCTAAATTTAGCAGACTTTTCCACAGTCTGATGAACTCATCACTGGTATCTCAGAAAGCGAAAATTTTCAGTGACTTCTTCGTCCTGCTGGAGCATGTGACAGGTAAGCTAATTATTAATCAAAGTTATAGTTCTTTTCAGTGTTTAATCGTTAAAATTATCCTACTTATTCTGCGCTTCCAGTTTTCATGTAAAGGTAAACACCATGAAATTAAAATTTCAGTTTCACAGTGGTAACTCATTCAAGCATGTGCTAATTGACCATCAATATTGTACTATATCAAGCTCAAAGGAATTAAGGAAGTAGATATGCTCAGTTGTCGATTTTAGACTATTGGCAATGGCTTTTACCAACAGCATACAAAATTTTGTACATCCCAGTTAGTATACTACTGCTTACCGAAACAAACCAAACAAACTTAATGACTAAATACTGTCAACGCTTCTGTCTGATCTTTTTTAACCGTTTACGAACCTTTGGGTTCAAATTACTAACCAATCAATATTCTATATATCATTAGTTAGTGATTCGTAATTTATAACACGCCCTAGCTACTTCAGTTAAATGAGGTTAATAACGTTAGAGCAAAGGTTGGTAAACCACGTTTATTTACTTTTTTACATCACTGAATGACTAAATGCTTTTTACTTGAGGATTAACTCGTAATTTCATTATGCTAGACGCGTCTTTTCTTAAAGAACAATTTTGCTGAGCTCAGGGTTTATTTAAGTGTGTCTGGTTAGATAATTTTATTTCTACCCTTTATTATGTTAAAATTTGTACATTGGTATAAAGTCAGGGTTTACTGACGAATTAGTATCTTGGCCATAGCTACCAAGTTAATTTGCTTGTGGTTGTTTGTTGTGATGCTTTAATAAAGTCAAATTTTTCTTGGAACTTTTCTCCAAGTTTTACGATGTCAGTCGAGTTGTCTGAATTGTTGTAAAATTAGGAGTAGTGAATTCGAGATCCGACGACAAATTCTTTCTCTTGATTGAACTGAAATGTAACCGAAATGAAGTGCTTCACATGAATCCTCGAGATTATTACCGATTCTGCCTGATACATGACATTTGGATTTATAAAAGAAGAAAGATGGATAAGTGTGATGATAGCACTGAAAACATAGTTTACAAATAGTTCTCACTACATTTCTCTGATCAAATAACTCAAAATGCACGAATAACGTGCTTCTAGGTAAAAATTCTTAATAAGCAGCTGCTGCCAGCAAAGTCAACTAAGTTGGAATAGATGCTCAGTAGTAACTAGAATCTAGCATCACAAAATAATAAAGGTGGAAAATGGTGTGGTGGCTTAGTTGTCTTTGGTAGGACACGGAAGTCTCAGATTTGATTCATGTATGGGTTCTATGTTGTACGATATTGAGAAATTTTCAAACCAAAAACAATTGGCTTCCCTACGCGTTTCGATTTTTATTGGCTTTTTAGTCTTTTGCGTATTATTTAAACTACTTACACAAATTTTTACCGAAAGTTGAGCGTGGTTGCACCACTGAACGTACATTGAAAGTTTTTTTGAGTCATGTTTTAAACTGAAATAACAAGTGCAACTCAGTAATCACAGTGAAATACTTGTGTACTAAAATATAAGCCATAATTTTCCTATCATGTTCTTAAGACTTTAAAAGTGCGTTGAATAGAGTCAGTCACTCAGCTACAACATAGAACTTTGTGTGTACGTACACTAGGTTGCCATACCACATAAGCACAGGTAGATCGAGTTGTCTATTCAAATCCCATGGTAGTCGAGGTAGTAGAAGTATAGGCCGTAACCGGAAAAAATTAGGGTTCGAAGATATTATTCGAGAACTATAGTCCAGTTAAATAAATCCAGCAAGAGAAAAGAGGTTTTGAGGAATACAGATGATTAGAATTTGAGAGAGGATAGAGAATAGATTCATCTGCGCCATCGCAAACGATTTTGTGCAGAAATTTTTACTGATTGATTGATCGGTTAAACAACAAATACCTAGATTATGCATTTACATAATTTTTTAATACGAAGATAAGATAAACCAAATAAAAGTATTTTTATTTTTGATATTGATTACTGAGTCATTGTGCTCATGTTGTTATTTGACTTTCTCAATTAAACCAATTTAGGATACACTTTCCCCAACGATAGAAGTTCTTCGGATAATTTTTACTCAGCCTGGCGTATATGCGATCCTGTCACCATATGGGTAGATCATTCTTTGCCTTCACTGCCTCGTTGGGTCACTAGTGATGTTTATAAACAATGCTCTGATTTATTGGACTATAAACATTTTATTCGATTTTCTGAACCACACTTGACAAGATTACGAGGTGGCCCACTAGCTGGTCATATGATGGATTTATTTCGTGAGCGTATTGACCAAGAGTTAAAGACAAATAATCATGACAAGGATGCTTCATTTCAGATACATCGGCGTTTCATTGCTTATTTTGCACATGATTCTACACTGGCAGCTCTAATGAGTCATTTAGGTGTATATAATGGGTTAGTTACTTTTACTTGTGGATTGCTTCAAACTATAATTTATGAGATTATATTCAGTAGAATGCGTATCTATTACATTGGATGTATTCAATTGTGAACATTCCATTGTGAACGATCCTGAGTTGTGTTACCTATTAGTTACAAGGATCATGTGGATACCCACTGGATTTGATCTCCTTAGCTTCTAAACTACTCCTGCACTGGATATCGCCCATCTCGAAAGGCGATGATGAAGCATACATAATACATGTCTCAGCCACCTTCATAAAGATTAACTACCCCACCAGCTGATATGGCATACTTACCTACTACCCTACGTCTAAACTCAGCATTACTTACTCACCGGTCCCATTATAATTAAAGCGGTCTATCTTACATGCTTATATAGATTACAACTGAAGTCTGGAAGGTTTACTATTTCATTATCGATTGATAGTGAATGATATAGAATCGAACAGATGAAATTTCATACTTTGTAAGCGAAAATCGTAAGCTCTCTTGAAATCTTCAATGTTTCATTCCAACTAATGAATGGCGTTTCGAGCACATTTTTCATCTGTTAGTCGTAAGATACTACTCTAGATTTAGTCTGACCCCACAATTAGTTTAAATATGAATTAGTGGGATCAAGGGTTTACTACTTCATATTTCTAACAAATTTCTACTTCCTTAAAGAGTTGGTACTTAGCAAACTTTTACAATTACAAAATTTAAAAGCCTACATTAATTATCATACTGGTAAAATCTCCAAATCTTTGTCAAAAAAGCTATTTTGTAGCAATAGAAATGATCGTTGACCATAGATAACATCGATGTGTCATTTGTGATAATTTAGATATGGTGTATAAATCATTTTGAGGAATTCGCGCATTAGTTAAAACTGAGATGATTCACATACGTTTTAGAATTATGATTTTATTAACAAACGACCATACATCGGATCAGTTCTGATTGGTTGTGTAAAATGTTTACGATCCAAGTATGGTGCGTGTATGTTTAAATGGTTTGGTTTTATTTTAACGTTTCATTTTATATTCAATAATTTTTGTTTTGTTTTTCTAGACTTAAACCGCCTTTAGCAAGTTGTTTAATAGTTGAACTTCATCGTTCACCATCATCATCATCATCATCACCATCATCATCCAATAATTTTTATCTTCAATTTTATTATCACAATGAAACAAAACTTCCGCTAAACACTAATAAAATAATAAATCTTTGGCCAACTAAATGTGGACCTCATAATTATGCTCATGATAAATCGATAAATTATTCATGCCCATTTCACACACTTGAATTATCCCTACAAGGAACTTATGCAACCGATGTTGCAGCTGAATGTTATGAGCATAATAATAATGATAATGTGAAAACAACCTTGATGAAACAACCATCAAGTATGAAAATGTTCGAATCTTATTGTTATCATCCTCAATTATTAACTTTGATATTTTTGCAAACACTGGTAGTCTGCTATTTTGTTGCTCGTTTCTTACCTTTTCCAATAGTTTATTTTATCAATAATTTTAGATATTCACGTCGTGTACAATAAGAACTTTCATGTATTGTCATTCGCATTCAATTCGGCGAATCATGTTCAATAAAGTAAGATAAAATCAAAAGAGAAGATTATTATTCTATTTGTGAATGTGAAACTTTTCATGTGATTTTCAAGTTTATTTTGTTATTTCTCAATTATTAATATTTTTTAAGAAAACTTTTTTTTTTCTATTTCTATTTTTCTACTGAAATTACTACAGTATGTTAGTCGTTTTTTTTTCTCCTTTGAAATTTTATATAAACAACGAGTGTAATGCTTAGTTCATATAGTTTGTGCATATTGACATTCAATTAATCAATCAGTCTTGATCTCCTGTTACATCATTAGAATAATGTTTTTTTAAAAAAAAAAATCAAATTAAGCATGACATAAAATTTCTAACGAAAAAAAATATTTTATCATTTGCATTATGTAGAATTACAATTAGAACATTTAGTCAATTTCAATCTCAATTTTTTTTCAAAGACAGAATATTAATTTATTCACTAACTGACTGAATGTGATTATGTCTTAAATGTACTAATCATACTAATGGCTAAATGATAATTTAAAGCAAACAAATATAATTTCTATATGAAAAAAACATGATTTTCTTCTTAAAACTGCTAGTTTTGATAAGCTATTTGTTGACCTTTGTATGTATATATTTGCTTTGAATACATTCGTATGTATACGTGTGAATATATTTGACTTACGGAATGCGCAACTCATCATTATCAGCTTCACTGTTGGTTAGAATACCTGAATTTAGAAAATTAGCTGCAATATTAGCTAAATTTCATAGGACACATTTAAACTTCCAGCCTACCCCTACTTACTTACTTACTTACTTTTGCCTGTTACCCCCAATGGAGCATAGGCCGCCCACCAGTTTTCTCCAACCAACTCTGTCCTGGGCTTCCCTCTCCAGTTCTGTCCAATGTTTGTTCATTCCTCTCATATCTTTCTCTATTTCTCGACGTAGTGTGTTCCTTGGCCTTCCTCTTTTCCTTTTGCCTTGAGGGTTCCAGGTGAGGGCTTGTCTAGTGACGCAGTTGGGTGCGTTTCGTAGTGTATGTCCTATCCACTTCCACCGCTTCTTCCTGATTTCCTCCTCCACTGGAATCTGACTTGTTCTCTCCCACAGTTCGTTGTTGCTGATGGTGTCTGGCCAACGAATACGAAGTATTTTGCGTAGACAACTGTTAATAAACACTTGTATCTTCTGGATGATGGCTTTGGTAGTTCTCTAGGTTTCCGCTCCATACAGTAGAACTGTCTTGACATTTGTATTGAAAATCCTGATTTTGGTTTTGTTTGAAAGTTGTTTGGAGTTCCAGATATTTTTCAACTGTAGAAATGCAGCCCTCGCTTTGCCAATCCGCGCCCTCACATCTGCGTCCGATCCACCTTTCTCGTCGATGATGCTGCCAAGATATGTGAAGGTGTTAACGTCCTCCAAGGTATCTCCATCAAGCGTGATTTGGTTGGTGCATGTTGTGTTGCATCGGAGAATTTTGCTTTTTCCTTTATGTATGTTGAGACCTACTGCTGCAGAGGCTGCTGCTACACTGGTCGTCTTCTCTTGCATTTGTTGTTGAGTGTGCGATAGAAGAGCCAGGTCATCTGCGAAGTCCAGATCGTCCAGCTGCGTCCTAACTGTCCAGTTGATACCGAGCTTCCCTCCAGATGTTGACGCTTTCATAATCCAGTCGATGACCAGGAGAAAGAGAAAGGGTGAGAGTAAGCAACCTTGCCTCACACCGGTCTTCACCTCAAAGGAGTCTGTTAGCTGTCCTTCGTGTACGATTTTGCAGTTGAATCCATCATAAGAATTCCGTATGATGTTGACTATTTTCTCAGGCACACCGTAGTGTCGAAGAAGCCTCCACAGTGTTTTCCTATCCACGCTATCGAATGCTTTCTCGTAGTCGATGAAGTTGATGTAGAGTGGTGAGTTCCATTCAATTGATTGTTCCACAATGATCCGTAATGTAGCAATTTGGTCAGTACACGATCGATCCTTACGAAATCCGGCCTGTTGATCTCGAAGTTGGGCGTCTACGAAGTCCTTCATTCTGTTTAACAATACTCTGTTGAAGACTTTGCCTGGTATTGAAAGAAGAGTGATGCCTCTGTAGTTCTCACACTTGCTGAGATCGCCTTTCTTTGGTATTTTGATCAGGTATCCTTCTTTCCAATCTGATGGTACTTGTTCCTCATCCCAAATCTTCTTGAAGAGAATGTGAAATATTTTCGCAGTTGCTTCTACATCTGCTTTCATTGCCTCTGCTGGAATGTTGTCTGGTCCTGCTGCTTTGCCGCTCTTGATTTGTCTGATGGCTGTACTGATCTCCTCAATCGTGGGTGCGCCAATATTAATTGAGAGGTCCGTGGATGCTGCTTCGATGTTGGGTGGGTTTAGTGGAGCTGGTCGACTCAGGAGTTCTTGAAAGTGCTCTACCCACCTATTTCGCTGTTGTTCAGTGTTGCTGATTACTTTCCCTTCCTTGCTTTTCACTGGTCGTTCTGGTTTACGATAGTTCCCGGCGAGCTTCTTTGTTGTTTCGTACAATTGTCTCATGTTTCCTTCTCTTGCAGCCTTTTCCGCCGTCATTGCTAGATCTTCCACATATTTTCGTTTGTCAGCTCTGATGCTCTTCTTCACTTCCCTGTTTGCTTCTGTATACTCGGCTTGCGCCTTAACTTTCTCTGCTCTTGTTCGGCAGACATTGATAGCTGCCTTCTTGTTCCTCCTTTCTTGAATTTTTTCAAGAGTACCAACAGAGATCCATTCCTTGTGATGGTGCTTTTTGCGACCAAGGACCTCCTGACATGTTGAAGTGATTGCCTCCTTAATCCCTTTCCAATTGTTCTCCAATGTTGCTTCCTCTTCATTGAGTAGATCCTGAAAGGCCTGGAACCTATTGGTGAGGGCTATCTTGAATTCGTTGAGTTTTACGGTATCCCGAAGAAAGGCCGTATTAAACTTCTGTGATGTTGTCTGCCCCGTTGTCCAGTGCTTCTTTAGCTTCAATCTCATTTTGGCGATCAGCAAGTGGTGATCTGAAGCTATATCAGCTCCTCTCTTGGTTCTCACATCCTCCATGGTCCTTCTGAACGTTTTGTTGATACAGATATGGTCAATTTGGTTTTGAGTAGTGTGATCCGGTGAAATCCATGTGGCTTTGTGTATGCGTTTGTGCGGGAATATTGTGCCACCGATGACCAGTTTGTTGAAGGCACATAGGTTTGCAAATCTCTCACCATTTTCGTTCCTTTCTCCCAGTCCATGTCGTCCCATGATGTCTTCATATCCAGTGTTGTCCATTCCAACCTTGGCATTCAGGTCTCCCATAAGAATCGTCAAATCCTTTGGTGAACATTTCTCGACGATTGACTGCAGCCTTTCGTAGAATTGATCTTTAACGTCGTCATTGTAGTCATTGGTAGGTGCATAACATTGGATGACGTTCATTGTAATGTCCTCTTTCTTTGTTTTGAAGGATGCTTTAATGATCCTCGGCCCATGAGATTCCCATCCTATCAATGCCTTTTGTGCATGTTTGGACAGCATCAGTGCAACTCCTTGTGTATGTGAAGCGTTTTCCTCTTCATGACCAGAGTATAACAGCAGTTCCCCTGAAGCTAGTCTCAGTTGTCCTACCTGTGTCCAATGTGTTTCACTGATGCCGAGCACCTCGAGGTTGTATCTTTTCATTTCTGCCGCAACTTGAAATAGTCTTCCAGTCTCCCACAATGTACGAACGTTCCATGTACCTAAAAAAATGGTTGCTCTGGTTGTCAGAAGAGGCATCGGCCCCGTGACTTCCGAGGGGACTCGGCTTTCATCACGAGACGTCATAATTCTTCTTCCAACTCCCAGGGCAGAGTTAAAATGGTTTGAATTATTTTTTCTGGTTAGCGTTTTTTTGGCAAGTTAGATTTCAACGGAATGGGGCCGCCAACCCCATGTCCAACCCTCCTCCTTTATCCGGGCTTGGGACCGGCAGTAGCCCCTAAGGTTCTACTGGCGGAGTTAGCCTACCCCTACATTAGATAACATATGATGTACGTGAATCTCAGTCTCATCAGCTTTGATAAATAGGCATGTTGTTTTTTATGTAGCAGTAGCCTTTGTGTAGTAGTCTATGATTGATCTGGATTTATAGGAAAATGCTAATCATGATGTTAGATTATCACCGATATATTAGATATGTAAGTGCTTGATCAGTTTACTGCAATATATTCCTCCCTTAACAGAAATATGGCTACTAGCCATACATCGAAAACGAATTCAGCTGAATGAGATGGAATAAAATTTAATTCATACAACAACAACAACAACTTCAACAATTACTTACCCATTTTATCGATTAGCGGATTGACAAAATGATTTGGTTACTATATAACTTCATGTCAATTTCGAGCTTTTAGGCAGAAAACACTTTTCAAGCAACTCTTATTCATTTGAGTTTGTTTGTGTTTAATTTGGTTAAGCCCTTTGTTAAGCCTTTGTTACCAGACAGAGTCATTCGTATAGCAGTAACTTGTCGGTACCGTAGTGCTTTTATTATTGTCGCGTTTGTATGAGCATTGCTTACCTCCTCCACTTGAACAATCCGATGACTAATTTTCTTATGTATATATGTGTACGTTTTAATCCTGTTCACTTGCTCACTCGCTCACTTGTTTGTTCTTCAGCACTAGCATATCATTTTCACTTCGTATGCCTGTAGTTTTGTGATCCGTGTGTGGTGCGATAGTAAGCACAATCAACGACTGGTATTCGTCTTCTGATTTATACACCGTTGGGCGTTATCTAGTAACGGTTATCAGGACGAGCAGTGTACGAAATTTAGGAATATATCGAATACCCACATCCACCACAGTATTGATGAGCCCGACTTAATGTATAACGCAGCCACCTGCACTATACTAAGTAGAGAACATTAGATGCCATATAATTCTACGTAACATTAGGGAAACGCTGGTGAGTTTAAATAATGAAATAATTAGCCTCATGATGAGTAGATGATATTTTTCTGATTTTAGTCTATAGTTCATCGATTGCTCTAATAGCTTGGGCATTCTCTGTTGAATCATTGTAATAACATGCAATGAATACTGATTTTGACAAAGACCTGCTTATACTCAGTAAAAAGTTAACTTGCTTCTACTCATAAAAACGTCATCATATTTAGTTGGACTGACTTGTGATCGATGGAATCAAATAAAAATTGGAAAGTTTGTTATTCTGAACCTCATTTTATTTTTTCCAAACGATTAGATGTAAACCATAGGTGTTTGATCCTCTGTACTTTGATGCTTACCCATTTGTAACTAACCAATCAGAGTACTGAGAATTGTTATATATGAATGTAAGTTCAGCGGAGTTTCACATTTTGAAGAATTTTGTTATTTCTAGGAGTGAAGTGATGAAACTATCAAAAGCAGTAAAAGCTATCACAACTCCATAGTAAAAACCTGGAAATTCAATGTTTTAACTTGAAAATCATTAATACCTCTCATTCGTAAGGTATTAATACTTATAAACGTTCATATTTAGAAAAAATACAAATTACATCATTAGGAAACGTCTTA